ACAAGCTGATTCTTGATCTTGAAAATATTGATGTAAAGATTGATGATGAAGATCAAGCGTTGTTATTGTTGTGCGCTTTGCCCAGATCACATGCTCACTTCAAAGAAACCATCTTGTATGGAAGAGAGTCCCTGACCTTTGAAGAAGTTCAATCAGCCTTGTACTCTAAGGACTTGAACGAACGTAAGGAGCATAAACCTTCGACGGTTGGTGAAGGTTTGGCTGTTAAAGGAAAATTCGACAAGAAGAAAGGTAAAAATCAGTCGAAGTCTTATAGTGGTGACACATCTGGTATTAGATGCTATCACTGTAAGAAAGTAGGTCACACAAGAAAGGTGTGCCCTGAACGCCTGAAAGATCATGGAGGTAAGGATAATGGCAATGCAGCTATTGTCCAAGATGATTTCGAATCATCTGATGTTCTTGTGGTTTCAAGCAACAACTCCTCGAAGGAGTGGATTATGGATTCTGGATGCACTTGGCACATGACTCCAAACAAAGACTTGTTCGAGGAATTATGTGATCAAGATGGTGGATCGGTATTGCTGGGAAACAACAAAGCTTGCAAGATTGCAGGCGTTGGATCTGTGAGATTCAAGCTCCATGATGAGTCAATAAGACTGTTGACTGAAGTCAGGTATGTACCTGATTTGAAGAGAAATTTGATTTCTCTTGGTGAATTCGACAAGAAAGGATATGTTTTTCAAGGAGAGAAAAGTATCCTGAGAGTCATGAAAGGGTCGAAGGAAGTCTTGAGAGGCGTGAAGAAACAAGGCTTGTATACCCTTGAGGCTGAAGTTGTAAGTGGTTCGACAAATGTTGCATCCACGAAACCTTTGTCGAAGACAGAAATTTGGCACATGAGATTGGGCCATGTCAGTGAAATGGGTCTGGTCGAATTAGGGAAACAAAATATGCTTGGTGGAGATAAAGTCGAAAAGCTGAAGTTTTGTGAACCCTGTGTACTTGGAAAGTCCTGTAGAATGAAGTTCAACAAAGGCAAACAAAGAACACATGGATCCCTTGATTACATCCATGCTGATCTTTGGGGGCCTGCAAGGTGTCCATCACATTCAGGAGCAAAGTATTTTCTATCCATAGTAGATGACTATTCCAGAAAGTTATGGGTATTCATCCAGAAGACTAAGGATGAAACTTTTGAGAATTTCAAAAGTTGGAAGACTCTTGTCGAAAATCAAACTGGCAGAAAGGTAAAGAGGTTGAGAACCGACAATGGCCTTGAGTTTTGCAATGAGGCGTTCGACAGTTTTTGTGTTGCCTCTGGTATTGCAAGGCACAGAACTACCGCAGGTACTCCTCAACAAAATGGTTTGGCTGAAAGGTTTAATCGAACTATTTTGGAGAGAGTTAGATGCATGTTGACTAGTGCGGGATTAAAGAAGGTGTTTTGGGCTGAGGCTGTTTCGACAGCAGCATATCTGATAAACAGATGTCCTTCGACAGCGTTAAATATGAAGACACCTGAAGAAGTTTGGTCGGGACATCCACCAGATCTCGACAAACTAAGAGTATTTGGCTGTGTAGCCTATGCTCACATTAGGCAAGACAAGGTCGAACCTAGAGCTCTGAAATGCATGTTTATGGGATACCCTGAAGGAGTAAAAGCTTATAGGCTATGGTGCCTAGAGCCAGGTCACAGGAGGTGTATCACCAGTCGAGATGTAGCTTTCAATGAAACGGAAATGGCTTTCAAGAAAACTGATGATGTTGACGAAGAGCTGGAACAGGTAGAGATTCCTGTTGAGGTGGAGCATGTTGATGCTGAAATGCGTATCCCAGATGAAGTCGAAGAAGAAACAGAAGATTCTGATGATGTTGAGGAAACTGTTGATGACTACCTATTGTCGAGAGATAGGCAAAGAAGAGTCATAAAACCACCTCAGAGACTTGGATATGCAGACCTTGTAGCTTATGCCTTAATCTCTGCAAGTGAAGTTCTAGACGAAGAACCTAGAGATTATAAGGAAGTTATAAGGAGTCGAATGAAGACTGAATGGCTAAAGGCCATGCATGATAAGATGAAATCTCTTCATGATAATCACACTTGGGAACTAATCAAGAAACCTGTTGGGGCAAGGTTAGTCAGTTGTAAGTGGATTTTCAAAGTTAAGGAAGGAATTGAAGGAGTAATGTCGAAGAGGTACAAGGCAAGATTAGTCGCAAGGGGTTTCACTCAGAAAGAAGGTGTCGACTTCAATGATGTATTTTCCCATGTTGTGAAGCACAGATCCATCCGAATGTTGCTTGCCATGGTGGCTCAGTTCGACCTTGAACTGGAACAAATGGATGTGAAGACTGCGTTCTTGTATGGTGACTTAGATGAAACAATCTTGATGAGGCAACCTGAAGGGTATGTCGAAAAGGGGAAAGAAGATTATGTGTGCAAACTGAAGAAATCTTTATATGGACTTAAACAATCTCCTCGACAGTGGAATAAGAGATTCGACAAGTTCATGGAACACATAGGTTTCATTAGAAGTCAGTTCGACCATTGTGTTTACTCCAGATTTCGACCTGAAAATTCATTTGTTATTTTGTTGCTTTATGTTGATGATATTCTGATAGCAAGCAACAATGTCGAAGATGTAATGAGGGTGAAGGATGAACTCAATAAGGAGTTCGACATGAAGGATCTGGGAGCTGCATCTAGGATTCTTGGAATTGACATTCGAAGAGATAGAAAGCAGTCGAAATTATGCTTATCTCAAGAGGCATACCTACGAAAGATTCTTGACAAGTTTGGTATGTCGAACTCGAAGCCTGTTGTGACTCCAACAAACCCTCAATTCAAGCTGAGTATTGATCAATGTCCCAGTACTGATGTCGAAAGAACCTATATGAATAGCATCCCATATGCTAATATAGTTGGTTCTTTGATGTATGCTATGGTCTGTACTAGACCCGATATAGCATATGCAGTAAGTCTTGTAAGCAGGTACATGGCGAATCCTGGAAAGGCTCACTGGCAAGCGTTAAAGTGGATTTTAAGGTACATAAATGGGTCTCTGAACAGAGTCTTAATTTATGGTGGAGCCTTGGGTGAAGATAGTAAAGCAGCAGTCGAAGGCTATGTTGACTCCGATTATGCAGGTTGTATGGATTCCAGAAAATCTATTTCTGGATATGTTTTCACTATGTTTGGTACAACAATTAGTTGGAAAGCAACTCTTCAGAAGGTTGTTGCCTTATCAACTACTGAAGCAGAATATATTGCCCTAACTGAAGCTGTGAAAGAAGCATTGTGGCTTGAAGGTTTTGCAAAGGAGCTGAAACTTCAAGGTCAAGGTATCACTGTTAAATGTGATAGTCAAAGTGCAATACACCTGTCGAAGAACTCAGCCTATCATGAGCGAACCAAGCACATAGATGTGAGGCTGCATTTCGTCAGAGGGGTAATCGAGCGTGGAGAAGTCCAAGTGCTGAAGGTCTCGACAGATCACAATGCTGCTGATATGATCACCAAAACATTGCCAAGTTGCAAGTTTTTCCACTGTATGCAGTTGATAAAGCTGCATGAAGAAAGCTAGTTAGTATCTCTTGATGCTGTAGAGTTAGGTCCAAGGTGGAGATTTGTGGGATTTTGGATCGAACTCTAGTTGGTCGAAGTACATGTTGTAGTCGAAGAAGGGTCTAGCATGTATTTGTCGAAGGATTCTTGTCGAATTAGGTTTTAGTGTTTAAACCCTAATTTGTTAAGTTAGCTTGTATAATGGGCCTTGTGGAAAAAGCCCATTAGTTAGTATGTTAGGTTTTATTATAAATAGCATACTAGTCTCTCATCATTGCAACACAGCAAATCCTAATTAGGGTGAGAGGGTTATTTGTTATCCTTGTAAACTTGTAATCTTGTTTTCAAAGAGAAAGTAAAGAATAGCAGTTATAACCAATTCTTGTGTTCTTCTTCTTCCTTGTTCTTTATTCTTCCCAAATACTATACTTTGTTATTGGCATTGAATTCACAACACAAGGTTTGTTATCTGGCCCTTTTTCAACTACGAGACAATGGACAGGTTCTTCAAAATGTATGATTGTGATGTGTTATTCATGATTTGGCCAAGTTACTTTGAACATGGCTGACGGAGTTGCCAATGTGTCTGCCATCTGATTTTCTTCTCGGAGTATGTGAGTGAAAGTAATATCAGTGAATTTCGTAGCTAGCATCAAAACATAATCCTGATATGGAATTAATTTGGGATATCGAGTGTCTCATTCACCGTTGACTTGATATATGACTAACGCTGAGTCACCATATACTTCGAGGTGTTTAATCATTAGATCTATAGAAACTTCTAGACCCAAGATACAAGCTTTGTATTCAACAATATTGTTGGTGCAATCAAAACATAACCTTGCAATATAAGGTTTATGAAAATTCTTTGGAGATGTCAGCACTGCCCCAATTCCATGTCCTAGTGCGTTTGAAGCACCGTCAAACATGAGTGTTCATCGTCCCCTGGTTCAGGTCCTTCGTCGGGTCCTGGTATTTCGTAGTCACCTATAACCATGATGTCTTCGTCTGAAAAGTCAAACTTCATTAGTTGATATTTTGTCAATGACCGATGAGCTAGATGATCAGCTAATACACTACCTTTAATGACCTTTTGAATAACATATTGGATGTCGTATTTGGAGAACATCTGACACCTAGCTATTCTTCCTGTAAGAGTTGCCTATAATTGATTATCAAGAGGAGATCACTTAGAAGACTTTTCAAGTGAGTCAACTATACCTACAAAATATTTCCCAGATTCTTTTGCAGAAAGAACCTGTGGTTGGAAACTTAGCCTACAAACAATCATAACCTTTCTGGAAATTCACATCTATTTTCTACACTTTTTACCCATCTACTTTATCCAGCAAACCCTTCCAATATAGAAGCCTCTAGAAAGATAATTGAGACTAAGCATCTAAAATCATTTCTCTCTTCAACAAAACCAACATCCAAAAAGATCACAACAAATCTTTCAAACTCTTGAGCCATGGATCAAAGTGTAGATTGGTCTCAACTCCCCACAGAGCTATGGCCCAAGATAGGAAAATGTCTTGATAATCACATAGATGTCCTCAGATTTCGCAGGGTTTGTGAATCATTTCGTTCTTCTCTTCCAAATTCTCCTTCTTTTCTATTACAAATACCTCACCCTATCCAACACTCACCTCAACCAATCAACCATTTATCTTATTGAACCAACTGATGCATCTTTAGTACCATCTTCTTCTAAAGGTTGGTTGATTAAGGTACAAGAATCAAAGAATCAATCTTTGAGTTTGGTGAGTCCTATCTCTGACCGGAAATTAGTGTACCCTCCAAGCAGTTGTGACAACAGTTCTCTTATGCTATTAAGCTTGTTGGATTATAGGGCCATTGAAATATGCAAATCATATACAATTGAAAAGATTACACGTTTTGCAAGTTATGTTCGCAAACTTCTCTTCTATCCTAACTCTCCTTGGACGAATGTTAAGGATTGTGTTTCTTTTTGTATCTTTGAAGAAGGTAAATTAGGATTCATGAAACATGACGACCAAAATTGGAAACTTGTAAATGACAAGAATTTCTACTATGATGATGTTATTGTTTTAAGGGTCAGTTTTATGTAACTGATAAATGGGGAGCTATTTCATGGATTGATGTTTGTTCTTTGAAATTGATCCAATTTTCACCTCCTTTGTGTGGTTTTGGAAACAAGAAGCATTTGGTGGAATCTTGTGGGAGTCTTTATGTTGTTGATGGATACTATGAAAGTGAAAACATGAGAAGAAACTATGCGGGAAGACAGCGCGATCGAGATGATGCCGTGGAAAGTTTCAAAATTTATAAGTTGGATGAAGAATGGGGAACATGGATTGATGTGAAAAACTTGAGTGATAGAGCTTTCATTTTGAGCAAAAGTTGCAACTTTTCAGTTTCAACAAAAGAACTAATGGGATACAAAGGGAACTGCATCTACTATAGTGATACTTTTGATGATTGGATGTATAATTTGGATGATCATAGAATTATTGACAAGATTTTATGGTCTCATTGATAATAGGTATAGACCTAGCAATTGATTGAATCAATAGTTGTGTGGGATTTTGGATCGAACTCTAGTTGGTCGAAGTACATGCTGTAGTCGAAGAAGGGTCTAGCATGTATTTGTCGAAGGATTCTTGTCGAATTAGGTTTTAGTGTTTAAACCCTAATTTGTTAAGTTAGCTTGTATAATGGGCCTTGTGGAAAAAGCCCATTAGTTAGTATGTTAGGTTTTATTATAAATAGCATACTAGTCTCTCATCATTGCATCACAGCAAATCCTAATTAGGATGAGAGGGTTATTTGTTATCCTTGTAAACTTGTAATCTTGTTTTCAAAGAGAAAGTAAAGAATAGCAGTTATAACCAATTCTTGTGTTCTTCTTCTTCCTTGTTCTTTATTCTTCCCAAATACTATACTTTGTTATTGGCATTGAATTCACAACAAATTGGTGCGGTGAGCGTGGAGGAAATGCCTTCAACAAAGTATGAGATCGAAAAGTTCACCGGAGTGAATGATTTCGGTCTATGGCGCTTGAAGATGAAAGCTCTACTGGTTCAGCAGGGTTGTTTGGAAGCGTTGAAGGGAGCGACGGCGATGGACGCTGCGCTAACAGAAAGAGAGAAGACGGCCATGATCGAGAAAGCACACAGCGCAATTTTGTTGAGCCTTGGTGATAAGGTTCTTCGACAGGTATCAAAGGAGACGACGGCATCAGGGTTATGGGTGAAACTTGAAAGTTTGTATATGACCAAATCTCTGGTAAATCGACTCTACCTGAAGCAAGCTTTGTATTCATTCAAGATGATCGAAGACAAAGTGTTGGCTGAGCAGTTGGATATGTTCAACAAGCTGATTCTTGATCTTGAAAATATTGATGTAAAGATTGATGATGAAGATCAAGCGTTGTTATTGTTGTGCGCTTTGCCCAGATCACATGCTCACTTCAAAGAAACCCTCTTGTATGGAAGAGAGTCCCTGACCTTTGAAGAAGTTCAATCAGCCTTGTACTCTAAGGACTTGAACGAACGTAAGGAGCATAAACCTTCGACGGTTGGTGAAGGTTTGGCTGTTAAAGGAAAATTCGACAAGAAGAAAGGTAAAAATCAGTCGAAGTCTTATAGTGGTGACACATCTGGTATTAGATGCTATCACTGTAAGAAAGTAGGTCACACAAGAAAGGTGTGCCCTGAACGCCTGAAAGATCATGGAGGTAAGGATAATGGCAATGCAGCTATTGTCCAAGATGATTTCGAATCATCTGATGTTCTTGTGGTTTCAAGCAACAACTCCTCGAAGGAGTGGATTATGGATTCTGGATGCACTTGGCACATGACTCCAAACAAAGACTTGTTCGAGGAATTATGTGATCAAGATGGTGGATCGGTATTGCTGGGAAACAACAAAGCTTGCAAGATTGCAGGCGTTGGATCTGTGAGATTCAAGCTCCATGATGAGTCAATAAGACTGTTGACTGAAGTCAGGTATGTACCTGATTTGAAGAGAAATTTGATTTCTCTTGGTGAATTCGACAAGAAAGGATATGTTTTTCAAGGAGAGAAAAGTATCCTGAGAGTCATGAAAGGGTCGAAGGAAGTCTTGAGAGGCGTGAAGAAACAAGGCTTGTATACCCTTGAGGCTGAAGTTGTAAGTGGTTCGACAAATGTTGCATCCACGAAACCTTTGTCGAAGACAGAAATTTGGCACATGAGATTGGGCCATGTCAGTGAAAGGGGTCTGGTCGAATTAGGGAAACAAAATCTGCTTGGTGGAGATAAAGTCGAAAAGCTGAAGTTTTGTGAACCCTGTGTACTTGGAAAGTCCTGTAGAATGAAGTTCAACAAAGGCAAACAAAGAACACATGGATCCCTTGATTACATCCATGCTGATCTTTGGGGGCCTGCAAGGTGTCCATCACATTCAGGAGCAAAGTATTTTCTATCCATAGTAGATGACTATTCCAGAAAGTTATGGGTATTCATCCAGAAGACTAAGGATGAAACTTTTGAGAATTTCAAAAGTTGGAAGACTCTTGTCGAAAATCAAACTGGCAGAAAGGTAAAGAGGTTGAGAACCGACAATGGCCTTGAGTTTTGCAATGAGGCGTTCGACAGTTTTTGTGTTGCCTCTGGTATTGCAAGGCACAGAACTACCGCAGGTACTCCTCAACAAAATGGTTTGGCTGAAAGGTTTAATCGAACTATTTTGGAGAGAGTTAGATGCATGTTGACTAGTGCGGGATTAAAGAAGGTGTTTTGGGCTGAGGCTGTTTCGACAGCAGCATATCTGATAAACAGATGTCCTTCGACAGCGTTAAATATGAAGACACCTGAAGAAGTTTGGTCGGGACATCCACCAGATCTCGACAAACTAAGAGTATTTGGCTGTGTAGCCTATGCTCACATTAGGCAAGACAAGGTCGAACCTAGAGCTCTGAAATGCATGTTTATGGGATACCCTGAAGGAGTAAAAGCTTATAGGCTATGGTGCCTAGAGCCAGGTCACAGGAGGTGTATCACCAGTCGAGATGTAGCTTTCAATGAAACGGAAATGGCTTTCAAGAAAACTGATGATGTTGACGAAGAGCTGGAACAGGTAGAGATTCCTGTTGAGGTGGAGCATGTTGATGCTGAAATGCGTATCCCAGATGAAGTCGAAGAAGAAACAGAAGATTCTGATGATGTTGAGGAAACTGTTGATGACTACCTATTGTCGAGAGATAGGCAAAGAAGAGTCATAAAACCACCTCAGAGACTTGGATATGCAGACCTTGTAGCTTATGCCTTAATCTCTGCAAGTGAAGTTCTAGACGAAGAACCTAGAGATTATAAGGAAGTTATAAGGAGTCGAATGAAGACTGAATGGCTAAAGGCCATGCATGATGAGATGAAATCTCTTCATGATAATCACACTTGGGAACTAATCAAGAAACCTGTTGGGGCAAGGTTAGTCAGCTGTAAGTGGATTTTCAAAGTTAAGGAAGGAATTGAAGGAGTAATGTCGAAGAGGTACAAGGCAAGATTAGTCGCAAGGGGTTTCACTCAGAAAGAAGGTGTCGACTTCAATGATGTATTTTCCCCTGTTGTGAAGCACAGATCCATCCGAATGTTGCTTGCCATGGTGGCTCAGTTCGACCTTGAACTGGAACAAATGGATGTGAAGACTGCGTTCTTGTATGGTGACTTAGATGAAACAATCCTGATGAGGCAACCTGAAGGGTATGTCGAAAAGGGGAAAGAAGATTATGTGTGCAAACTGAAGAAATCTTTATATGGACTTAAACAATCTCCTCGACAGTGGAATAAGAGATTCGACAAGTTCATGGAACACATAGGTTTCATTAGAAGTCAGTTCGACCATTGTGTTTACTCCAGATTTCGACCTGAAAATTCATTTGTTATTTTGTTGCTTTATGTTGATGATATTCTGATAGCAAGCAACAATGTCGAAGATGTAATGAGGGTGAAGGCTGAACTCAATAAGGAGTTCGACATGAAGGATCTGGGAGCTGCATCTAGGATTCTTGGAATTGACATTCGAAGAGATAGAAAGCAGTCGAAATTATGCTTATCTCAAGAGGCATACCTACGAAAGATTCTTGACAAGTTTGGTATGTCGAACTCGAAGCCTGTTGTGACTCCAACAAACCCTCAATTCAAGCTGAGTATTGATCAATGTCCCAGTACTGATGTCGAAAGAACCTATATGAATAGCATCCCATATGCTAATATAGTTGGTTCTTTGATGTATGCTATGGTCTGTACTAGACCCGATATAGCATATGCAGTAAGTCTTGTAAGCAGGTACATGGCGAATCCTGGAAAGGCTCACTGGCAAGCGTTAAAGTGGATTTTAAGGTACATAAATGGGTCTCTGAACAGAGTCTTAATTTATGGTGGAGCCTTGGGTGAAGATAGTAAAGCAGCAGTCGAAGGCTATGTTGACTCCGATTATGCAGGTTGTATGGATTCCAGAAAATCTATTTCTGGATATGTTTTCACTATGTTTGGTACAGCAATTAGTTGGAAAGCAACTCTTCAGAAGGTTGTTGCCTTATCAACTACTGAAGCAGAATATATTGCCCTAACTGAAGCTGTGAAAGAAGCATTGTGGCTTGAAGGTTTTGCAAAGGAGCTGAAACTTCAAGGTCAAGGTATCACTGTTAAATGTGATAGTCAAAGTGCAATACACCTGTCGAAGAACTCAGCCTATCATGAGCGAACCAAGCACATAGATGTGAGGCTGCATTTCGTCAGAGGGGTAATCGAGCGTGGAGAAGTCCAAGTGCTGAAGGTCTCGACAGATCACAATGCTGCTGATATGATCACCAAAACATTGCCAAGTTGCAAGTTTTTCCACTGTATGCAGTTGATAAAGCTGCATGAAGAAAGCTAGTTAGTATCTCTTGATGCTGTAGAGTTAGGTCCAAGGTGGAGATTTGTGGGATTTTGGATCGAACTCTAGTTGGTCGAAGTACATGCTGTAGTCGAAGAAGGGTCTAGCATGTATTTGTCGAAGGATTCTTGTCGAATTAGGTTTTAGTGTTTAAACCCTAATTTGTTAAGTTAGCTTGTATAATGGGCCTTGTGGAAAAAGCCCATTAGTTAGTATGTTAGGTTTTATTATAAATAGCATACTAGTCTCTCATCATTGCATCACAGCAAATCCTAATTAGGGTGAGAGGGTTATTTGTTATCCTTGTAAACTTGTAATCTTGTTTTCAAAGAGAAAGTAAAGAATAGCAGTTATAACCAATTCTTGTGTTCTTCTTCTTCCTTGTTCTTTATTCTTCCCAAATACTATACTTTGTTATTGGCATTGAATTCACAACAAGTTGTGTTTGGAAATTGGATGTTTTATGAGTTCTGTATCAATGCTGATATGTGCTTTGTCATTCCAACAACTAAAGAAGTTGATAATGCAGAAACTAGTATTTTCTAAGTGTGATCATTGTTGTGCTACAATTATATAACGAGATTGAATTAAAATTTGTAGTTTGAGGATGCAAAGCTA